AGCTTTCCAAAAAACGACCATTATGAGAAATTTAGGAGTCATGACACTTCACACAGGGTCAACCGTCCGTTCGAACTGTTCGAACGAAGGGGTCGCATTTTGGTCGGAAGGGGGTCGCAATTTCGAGGACTGCCAGCCACAGGCGCGTGCGTGGCGTATCCGAGGGCAAGAATTGTTTGTGCAGACCGCATTAGATTCGATTAATTATGCACAGAGAGACAGTTTTAGGCAAATTACGGTGTTTTCCTTGAGGAATAAAGAACAGTTGAATGCATCCCTATGAAAGGTTTGACTTCTCGGGGCTGAAATTAAAGTTCTTCGGGACCTAATTTTCTGAGGACGATTCTTCCAGACAACGGTAAAACACATAAGAAAGCAGAAATCTCGTAGTCTTCAAAAATGTCTTCGCCCTCCCCAACAAGTTCTTTGAAGGAAGTTATTATTGCTGAAAGCTCAAAAACTCGCATGTGCTGCTCAAAAACCTATGGGAACAAAATGTTCGAACGTGTGATTTTCTCGGAAAATGGATTTTGAAAAACGGTTTGGTGCTTGTTAGAAAGAGCAAATCCTGTACTTTCACCCCATGAAAAAGTGCATCACAGAAATGAAAATGAAGTGAGTTATGCCCGCTTAAAGCCCAAAAACTCGCGATTTCAAAAAAAGTGTTCGGCAAAACCCCCCAAAATGTTCGAACGTGTGATTTTCTCGAAAAATGAACTTTGAAAAACGGTTTAGGCTTGTTAGAAAGAGCAAATCCTGTACTTTCACCCCATGAAAAAAGTGCATCACAGAAATGAAAATGAAGTGAGTTATGGTCGCTGAAAGCCCAAAAACTCGCTTTTGCACGAAAAATGTTCGAACGGGACAATTTTTTGAAAAAGGGGACAATCACTAAACTTTTTATACTGTTTTGTTAGAGAAATATTTGAAGTTTCTGAAACTTTTTACAGATTTCCAAAATGTCGCATACGAAAGATTTTATGGGCCTTCAAAGTTGAAGGTGCGCCTTCTTAGAATTTTGGGTTTTCCACTTCTAACAGAAGTACTTTCCGGAGAGTTAGGCAATCCTTGTAGTTTTCTGAAGCGCACCTCAGGCACAGTCAAAATCTACCTCAACAAGTCAAAAAAGTACGTCCCAAGAAAGTTATTCCCCTCTAAAATTTTTTCTTCGCCGCGTCCCGTTCTTCCAGCGCCCGGGTGATACCTGCCGCGCTCCAAGGCTGACGCGACACGCAGACGCTTTCTGGCGCAACGGATTCATGTCTAGCACTCTTATTAACAAAAACAGGGGGTCGCAACTGGACCCCCTCGAGAGCTAGGGGGTCGCAAAAATCCCGAAAATGTTCGAACGTGACGGTTGACCCTGGTGGGGAGTATTAACGAGTTCGATGGTTGCAGACCCGGGATTAGCGCCCTTAGCGCGCCTTTTGCGGCGAAGCTGGAGTGATCTAGTAGGTAGGGACCTTACAATTTCCCTCGCGGTATCCTTCCCACAAGACGGGCTAATCCCTGGGGTTTGCCTTTAACATTTTTAATCGTTTTCGAGTGACACAAAAGAAATGGATAGGGCATATACTACAATACAATGCTTCATAAAGCACACATAGTCCGCTGTACAAAATGGACGAATGACACTTATCAAAGTGGTGGAAAACGTTTCGTTTAGGAGAAAAAAGAACACCTCGATCTACTCGATGGTCTTCTCGAAACGGTATTGGAAGCGAAATGGCAGGCATTTGGAAAGAGAAGGTTCGACTGACTTACCTTTATATGAGGTTGTCGTTGGAGGTATTTAGGGGAGTTTATCCCTAGAAGTCCTTTTGCTCATGATCTTGGAAGCTGGTTCTCGAGTATTATCTGGGAATAACCTTGAAACGCCCTAGAAAAAGACTGCATGACGATTAAATGAGAGGGCTGCTATTGGGAAGCTATTGGTCAATTTCGAGAGCATTCTAGATCATCATGCATGTTACTGTTAGACTTTCTCAATGAATGTATTCCATTAATAGAGATTTTGTCGGATCAATCACCGACAAAAGTGCATTCATAAGTTAAGATGCTAAAGCACAGGTCAATGTGATCATTTCAGCGAATAATAGAAGAGCGTCTAGAGCATCTATAACACGTTGACGACAGCGTGACGCGGTAACGCGTCCCACTTTGCGCACCTCGTGGGACATTGTGACGCGGTAACGCGTCCCACCCAAGTCATCCCTTTTTCTTGCGCTTGTGCGACTTATTCCTAAGGTCTTTGTACTCATTCTATAGGTCATACATTAGCATACTTAAAACCACATGGCTCACAGAAAGGCCAAATATTCTTTAGTTTGGCAGACGTTTTCCAGACCTTACGGATATGTCTGTTCAATTCATTCCTCGTTTTCTTTTCAATAACCATGTTGATAAAAAGGAATAATAAGCGAATACAAACCTATTCGTATGGGAAGATATGTGTTTTTACTGAAACAACCACGTCCAAATTAATTTTGGAACCACTAAAGGGAAATAAGTAAAATTTCCTTTTCATGGCCTTAACACGTCATTTCGGTCAAACTTCCATTACTGTAACTCCTGATAAGCTAGACAGATCGAACATCATTGAAAACATTTCATCGCATCTAAGTATTGCACAACTTAAAATCCATGGATTTGGTGTGCGGCGGCTGCGCTCGCAAAATCGCTCTTGTCCCACGCGGTGCAAAAGCACAAAACGCGCGATGTCGTCAACGTGTTAACCCAGTCGCGACCGCGTGGATTGCGCAATAGCAGGAGAGTCAGGAGATTTTTCTTCAATAAAATTTGAGTGGATGGAGATTTCCTCTGCCCAGGGCTGGCGTAGATGAATGAGGGTATGAAGATTCTTTTCAGGAAGAAAACTTTCCAAATTCCATTTGGAACATGGCAGCCATCTGTGGCTGCCATTGTCACGAATGGGTTAAAGCTGATTATCTCACGACTATTCGGCGATAAGAAAGAGACTACATACGCTTTCTTTTTCGCGTTATTCGTTTCATTGAAGAACAATATCATAGAACTTAATTTGTCAGTCATATATCATACAAAAAATGATCCAAACGGGGTGTATATGAGCAGTATTTGGAAGATGAGGTGCGGCTTGCAGCAATTCAATTTAATAAGGGTTTTGTTGATAATTTTCTATTTCGAATATCTGCTACGGTGGCGATCGTAAGTTTTTAGGTTGAGCAATAACTACCCGCCGATTTTTTTCGAGCTCATGGTTCTTTGATTTTTTGCTGATTATTTTCAAAGATTATGATGTAGTCTGAAAGCGCGCAATCTCTTGTACATTTTGATGTACAACACTTGTGTATTTGCTTCACTAAGGAGCTTATACACTATAAAAAAGATTGCTCATCCTACATGAGTGCAAATTGTGCTCGAAAGCTGTAGAATCAATGAGGACCGTGCGAGAGCGTCTGTTGATTACGCATTTATGTTGTTTTAGTTTAGTTTTGTTGAAAAGCTTACCAATGAAATGAAGAATGTAGATAATTATTGTTCACCTAAATATTTCTTGCAGTTGTAATGAAGCGTCTACTCTGTCCTTAACATTTTTTGAGTCACATTTTCTGCAGCGAAGATTGCTTTCATGAAGTGGAGAAAAAAAAAGGAATCATTACAGCATGCTGCGGTCATTGCTGGCATTCACCTTCTTTTACATTTTCGTCGTTGCTGCCTTTTCTCTGCGTCCAATACCGATGTCGACAGCTGTAAGTATTACTACGTATCGCTACAGTTATCATAACCGCTCCCCCCCTCTGCACGCAACCTTGGTACCTATAAAACCTTTAGTGCTCCCAACGAATATTGCCCAACTTATGCAGGCTCATAAAAAGCACAATTTTAAGATTCATTAGTGATGAAGACCTCAAACATTAGCTAAGTCGACTAGCCTTTAGAGATGGTATACTCTAAACGGTCTGGAGTCAGATAGTTAGATTGAGCATTACTAGAATTGGAGAAACCTCCTAAGGATGCAGACGACTCCAAATTCGTATTGAAAGCAGTGCCCATGGCGACCCAGCTTGCTCCGGGGCCCAAATGGCGCGCAATTGACCTGGCACATTCCCTCTCGCGTCTCTAGTTTCTGAGTCTCTAGCCGTTCAGCAGAGAGAGCGTTAGCGTTGAAGAGGGCAGCACCGATGAGAGTCGCATCAATGCGCAAATCAACGGGCAAGGAAGGGGTCCCATTTCTCGGGTTCTAGGCCATTTTTCTTGGTTTTTTCCTTCTTTCGTGTATCACTAACCATCTCTAAATTAGTTTCCAGTGGGCTACTCTTTGGCACGGTCAACCTCACGAAGGGAGACTCTCAACAGCAGTTTTTTCAAAGACTGTTTTAGTTCTTCTCCCCTCACTTTTCTCTTCGCTCTGCTTTCATTTTTGAGCGAAAGAACGACAATTGTTAGTCACCCATAAGTTTTTGAAATCACGTTACGCATCACCACCGCGGTCATATGATCGAGGTTTGCTCCTGCCTTGTCATATGTACGTCAGTCGTGTCACCTCACCGTAATTTAATGTATCAGAACGAAGACCCAAGCAATGAGAATGTAGGTGCAATCGCAAACTCAGCGCATATGCATGATCAGAATCTGGGAGTCTACTACAGTAGCTTGATCGATGGTTAGCGGAATGAATGCATTGCTCCAAAAACAAAGAAATGTAAACAAAGAGCTTCTTCTCCAACATAACCTAAAATTACCTTTGCAGCAACTCACATGGGGATGGATTACATTCAAAGGAGCGCCAATTGATGGGCCGTACTATCCTGGGGATGTACCAGAAGTGCCGACAGCTGAAGGAATGCAGAAGTACCGTAAGTCCAGGTGCTGTATTTCGTGTTGTGTGTTCTTTCATCGTTTTCGTTTTCAGGGGTTCAACTAACCGAATGTCATTTACGCAATTACTGGGATCCGAACTTGTCGATATGGAACGGATGGGTCCGTAATTACTCCGAATCTTTGTTTAGAAGATTCTGAAAATTCTCCATCTCCCTTGGAGTTCCTCTAGTCATGCTTTCGCTTTTTGATATATTCAAAGCAGTGCTTCCTCTTCATTTCAGGTGCGGGGCGGCGCAGAAGCCGTCGTTCTTTTGTGCACAATTGTTCAGATCGTTTTCGAGATCAAAGACGTGCAGCGGATTGGACGAGGAAAGTGGTGGGCCATTCATGTGAGCCACCCGACTTCTTTCGATTTAAAATGAGGCTCAAGAAGAACCAGTATGTTTACTGTTCACGGGTTCACCTTGTGACCTGTGTCGCCCATAAAATCGAATCCTCCACTCCCCATTTACCGGAAGTTCGTTGCTACATAGGTTGTATAGTACCGCGAGCAAGCTCGCCGATACAAACTCGAGCTGGTTCACTCATATTTTGGTGTCAAAGTCAACGACGCAACCGAATATGTGTGCCAAAGGATAGGGTCTGAAAACGTGGCTAATCTCAAAAAGCTAGACCAATACCCATAATTGTTTTTCATGAGCAGTTGAAAGTGGATACAAAAGAGACAATTTATGATAGGCGCCCGTAAGTGAGCTAGGCTTCTGCGAAGACTTCGCACTTTTGTTGTATTGTACAAATAAAGTTCTCGAGTTACTCATTTGCAGAAAGAATTTCCCTCGAAACTTGCCTACAAATGCTCGTTTGTGCTCATACTGCTGATGATTCCAATAAGAGCCGCATGTGCATTGAGTGCTGAACTTCTTGTAGTCGATAACGTACTGGCCACAATTGTCATTCTGTTCACGTCTATACATTACTTGTATTACTGTAGGTAAGTGATTTTTTGCACTTCGAGAATTCAACAGATTAGGCTGAATGATGGCAGAAGCATGCTGGAAGCTGGGGTGGCATTTTACACCAGGGGATCCTATCTTATGGTTTGTATATGCTATGCATTATCATCATAGCAGGATATGTCATGGCATGAAACGGTCTGCCAGGATTAACTCGTCCAGGCTGCCTCTTTCCTGATCTCCCTTCCATCCGAAGCTCCATTCGCTGCTTTTAGGCTATTTTTCTTGTTTTTTTTTTCACCACTGCACCGTTGTCACCTCTACATTTCTTTTCCACCATCGCCAAGTTTTGTTATACATCCGCCTTCATACAGGGGCCAAAAAAAGTCACTTCTGTCCACATTCCAAACGAAATCAATTTAACCCTGCGAATCCAAACCAAATGACCCAACTGAATATTAGGGAGCACATTCTATTCTGCCAGCATCCTACTAACTATAAAGCGCGCTTCGTCTGTCGTCTGTCTGTCTGTGTGTCTGTCACGAAATTCGGTATCAAGCGAACAACAACCTACAGGGTCCAGGTCAAGTTTGGGATGGGTATACCATATCCCTAGAAGTAAACACACATCAGCCAAGCGGAGCCCCGCCCACAGTGGGCGTGGCGTGCATCGGTTGATTTCAAATTCAGTCACAAAACAGCCTCGAGACCGGGACAAAAGTGGGCATAGGTGTGGGTTGGTAAGCCAGATCGAACTGAGGAGACCCACCCTCGGTGGGCGGGGCGTTCTCTAGAAAATGGGTGCTCAGTGAAAATATTCATAACTCGGTTAAGAGGAAGCCTACAGACCAGAAACGAAATTAGTGCAGGGGAGCAATGCCTAAGGTATTTCCACCACGCATGATGTGAACGGAGGCCCGCCCACAATGGGCGGAGCGTGTCGTGAAGCGGACAGCATTTTCTACAAGAGCTCATAAATCGGCTCCGAGATGACTTAGAGACCGGAAAACAACGGATAGAGGTCAGGAGGGGAGGGGAAGCTAAATGTCAGGGATGGGCGTGGCTTACATCAAAGTGGGCGGAGTTTGCAATTAGGCTTATAACTCGGTTCCTAGGAGTCCCGGAGTCCGGGAAAAAAGCGTATGAGGGTTGGCAGAGGGAAAGGGGTCAACCGTTGTTGGCGGGCGGAGCATGCACCAAAGTGGGCGGGGTTTGCCACGGTACTTCATAACTCGGTTCCAATAAGTTCCAGAGATGGGAGAAAAGTAGAAAAAGGTTGGGGAAGAGATGATAGCCGACTGATATCAGTGGGCGACCCACGCACCAAAGTGGGCGGGGTTTGCCACAAAGATACGTAGCTCGATTTCGTCCCCTACAAGACCTCATAATTCTGGCTCCGAGATGACTTAGAGACCTGAAAAAAATACGCCAGAGGTGAAAGTAGGAGTAGAGGTTGAATGTGAACGCTGGGCGTGGCACACCCGGATGTGGGCGGAGTTTGCCACCGCCCTCATAACTCGGTTCCTAGAAGTTCCGGCGACCGGGGAAAATGTGCATAAGTATTGAGGTATGGAGTAGGGTTGAATGCCATTGTTGGGCTAACCATGCACCAAAGTGGGCGGGGTCTGCCTCAGAAATTCGTGACTCATAACGCCATTTACAAGACCTCATAATTCGGCTCCGAGATGACTTAGAGACCTGAAAAAAATACGCCCAGAGGTGAAAGTAGGAGTAGAGGTTGAATGTGAACGCTGGGCGTGGCACACCCGGATGTGGGCGGAGTTTGCGGCGTAAGTAAGATGTACCGAGCAGAAAGCTAAAATCAAGACAAAAATACTGATGGGCCCGATTTTACCGCTGCAGCCCCGTCTCATGCACGCGAATGCGTGCGCAGCCAAACTGGTATAAATAAGTGCCTTCTACAACCCGACGACATCAGGGAGCCGGTAGTAAAGTGCCATAGACTGGGAGTCAAAGGTGGTGAACATCGGCCTTAAACGGCGAAGAATGAAAGGCGAGACAGCGAGGTGACCCTGGTGTGAACGGCGAACTTCACTACATTCTTAGCAAAACACACAATGCCCATGGACTTGAACCATGCAATGCAGCGTCCATGGGCGCGACGTTTGGCACTGCACCACAAAGCATTGCTGGTTCAGTTTGAAAGAATTGTAGAATGCAAGATAATAACCTATGAGGTTTGCAAAGTCTTGATGTCGCGGAGAATTGATCCCGTGACCGTTCCAGTGCCCACAAGGACAAACCCGCTGCGCCAATCGACGTGTTGCATTGGTCAGATTATTGTCGTGAAATTGTACACAGCTGAACTGCTCCCATGACCAAGGAAGGGGCTATAACGTGATCAATAAGTGGAACACTGCTGGGGACAGTTGGGACACCATACTGGCGAGAAGTTATCAATATTATCGATAGCTCCAGTGGCTTTCTCAACACCTTCCACGAACCACCCACCCTTCTTCTCTTCGCTCTGCGACATGGCAGGGACATGCAGGGCGCAGGGCCACACAAGGCGCGTTGCCAAAACGGCGACCGGTCAGAGGAAGGAAAAGTGCATGGATATTGCAGAGACGGTAAACGGTGACTAAAATGTACTCAGGGGTACATATTAGTCGCCGTTTAACACGTTGACGACATTGTGCAGCGCATGCGCATCACACCTTGAGCACCGTGTGGGACCGTGTGCAGCGCATGCGCTGCACACACAAAATATTTATTTTTTTCGCGCATGCGCTACTTCTTTTCTAATTTTTTGCATCTATTCCATAGACTACACCATAATATGACTAGACACGGCGAGGTTCATTGAATGGTTGAATATGCTCCTTTTTAGCGAAGGTTTTCTAAGCTACGAATTTCCCAATTGTGTTGCATATCCTAAGTTTCCTTTAAACAGTAGAAGTAAGTACAGACCCACACATATAGCAAGACATATGTTTTTAGTGGAGCAACCGCGTCAAAAATAATTCTGAGGTTCACTGCAGCAAAAGCAACTGAAACTTGCCTTTCATCGCCAGAAAACGTCAATTCGATCGATTTTTTACAGTTGTCCCTTCTGATAAGTTTGACACATCGAATATCATTCTAAACATCTTGTTGCATCCGAGTTTGGGTATTTAAAGCTCAAAATTCACGGATTTGATGTGAGGCGGCGGCGCCTGCAAAATCGCCGTGGTCCCACGCGGTGCAAAAACCCAAAACGCGCGTTGTCGTCAACGTGTTAATACCTCTGCAAGACCCATGCACTTTTCCTTTTCTCTGACCGGTCGCCGTTTTGGCAACGTGCCGCCGCACACGTTGGCCAATTGATATATGACGTAGACCTCGCCAACTGCGGCACGTCAGCGCGAATTTCCCGCCTTCCCCAATGCTTTTTGGGTGCGGGCGAAGGCGACGTCAAAGGCGAGTCGGGAGACGGTCAATTCAATCGTCGGCTAATGAGGTCACGCCGCTCACGCGGCGGGCAGCGTCGCGCGCGGCAAATGGTGCGGCGATTTTTGTATGGGCCTTGGCTTAACGGTCCTTGTCCATAAGTTGCTGGTGGGGTTAGAGAACTGATAAGACCAAAGTTCCAGACATCAGTGAGCCAACAAGAGTCACCTTAAGATCTCCGCAGTTATTTAAGCCTCACTGTACAGAGCTTGTGCCATGTAAAGGTTGTCCTTTTGAACATAATGAGACTTCTTTATTAATCAACTGCCTGAATTGTTATCAGAGAGCGATAATCTGGCTAAATCGGAAAATATTACGTTCCAAGACGCAGTGGAACGGTGAGGAAGGCATAACATCAGTATGACAGAATAAGTTTGTAAATAATGGCAAAGGATCCTGTATTTTAAGGGGCAGGTGATCATATACCGTGTTTCACGACTGGAAACTTCATCTAATCCTACATTCCCCAAATGCTAGAACCCTGAATTCTAGCCACGGCCGACGTCGCATCGCGGGCTGCGGCGGCTGGCGCGGCGACCTAGCCATCGCCACGATTGAATCGTCACGCACCCCAAGGCGAGCTATTGGCTAGCCATAGACTGGCCGTTTAGACCGCTTTACTACCGTCCCAGAAGATTTCCCACGGAAACATGGTTCACGGTACGAGCTCAACGAGGTCGTCGAGGTACCATAGACCATTACGACGTCCCTGAAACGCTGGTCAAAAGCGGTTTGCACAGTCACAGCTAGTGTCTAAAGCTATTCACCAGTTAATCGATTGAAGAAATTATGTAGCAGCTTCAGGCCGGAGCGATTACGGTAAGCCTCGTTGAGCTCGACGGTGACGGCAGATGACGTCATATTCTGAAGACGGTGGGGGCAGTGAAGGAGGGCCTGCTTCTGCTTATGGGGGGACACCTAAGGAATATTCTGCCGTAAAACATTCATCAACAACGGCATCCTGTGCGACGAAATATCTTGCCATAGGCGAAGTGACTCTTTTTTTGGCCCCCCTCTAGTCATTGACGTGCTGGGCTAGAAGCCTTGCCCACTGGTGGAATGTCATTGGACCAAGCATTACAACTAGTTATTTTTGAAGTTGGACCATAACATCAGTCTCTTTGCTTTAATCCCTTGTCCTCGATTTTCGTTCTCACGATAAGGCACACTAAAATTTCGTATAAATCTTGCATGGTAATGGAAGATTTCAATTTCTTAAATGCTTCTCGTTAAATTCTTTTGCAGGGCTATAAAATTTGTTGGACCTTTCGTGCTAATGGTGTATACCATTATTGCAACAGATATACGACGTTTCTTAATGATATACGGCATTTTCCTCATTGGGTTTTCACAAGGTACACATCGCTTGATGTCTCCTATTTTTTCTTGTAAACAGCAAGACTCATGCATTTCAGCATTCTACTTGGTGTTTTTGAGCTGCGAACGCGCCGAAAGCACGCAGAATATGAAAACATCAAATCAGGATCGATTCCAGAATGTCATACAAAATCCCTTGGAGGCTTTCATTCGAACCTTTATCCTCACCATCGGAGAGTTCACGGTCCTCTACAGAAACCTGGCTATGTGCCCAGCAAAAATTATGATATGGATAGGAAAGGTAGGGGAAACCTGTTCTTTCACTAACAATTGTCTTCATTCAATAATCATACTTCCACTGTTGCTTGGCAGCTATTCACAAATGAATTCATAGTTGGCATCTTTTTACTTGGCTCCTACAGGAGGGAGCTAACAGACCAGCTTGCAGCGCCCACTGACAACTGTACGGCAGTGTTTGGGGTGGTCATAAGGTCAGTGCAGTGCTAATGAAGAATCCGATGTTCTCAAGGGAAGGACTGAAAGTGAAAGCAAAACAGGTGTCCAAAGGCACATTCCACGATTGAATAAGTAGGGATAATTGTGCGTGGAAATGAACGCAGCTGTGGTAAATGGTTAAGCAGTGAGAACAAGCAAAAAAGTGCTAAAAATCTCCAAAATCACAGTTGGTCTTGTGGGCGGGTACGTTTTTCCTTAGTGACTCTCATTGGTCGGCCATTTCTCTGATGTAGTCAAGTATGGTGAAATGCGGTAAAGAGATGGCGCACAGTCAACGAAATTCACGAAGGGATTGGCGCAAGCCTCGCTCAAACATACGGCGGGCGCGCATGTTTTGAAGAGTTTCAGCAGTTTTTCGCTCTCTCCTTTCTATTACTGATGGACCAATCGCGGTTCGTAATTTTCATCTACCCTGTATTTCTCACGTAAGGGCTTGTTTAATCTTGAAACCTCGTAGTTTTCATCTTGAAGTACTGAAGGTGATTATAGCAGGCGGTGATTATTTGGGAAGGTCGTTCGTGGAGGGCTATGGGTGGGATCTATCCACATCTCCCAGCACCATGAAAAAGTTGACGGACCGCTTCTCTTCCGCCAGTGGCTTTTCCAAGTTAGCTTCACCTCCTCCTCTGCTCGAAGCATACCGTTCCACCGATTGTAGGATCGGTATCTAGTGTTAGTAATGGTTTTTGCAACCAGGTACGGCCGGCGCCGGCCCCGCTGAAAATGTGGATTGTAATGCGTTTTTTTACAGGCGTATTTTCGTAATTTTGCGGAGCTCGGCAGTTTCAATTCTAAGTTTCCAATCTGGCTGCATTGTAGTTGATGACAAGGACATATGAAACTATTTATCGTACAAGGGAAGGAGTGTTACAACGACAGGTTCGACGCAGGGTTGAAGACGTTTGCCTTTTCTCCAACCAGGTGGTTTAAATTAGGAGCAGGTTTTCGGGAACAGGAATTCTTGTTGAAACCATTTCATTCTCATGGTATAAGCGTGATATTTATGGTATGAGTGCACTCAAATGATACAGTGATGTTGCTAGTTTTTATTTTAATGCTTTCTTGCCAAAGAGAAATTCAACAGAGCAGAAGTCCAGGTGAAGGCAGAAGTTTGTAGTTTGCTGAACAACATGCCATGAATTGTTCTCTTGTTACAGTGGGCTCAGGTCATTTTGATGCTGGAGCTTTCGTTGGCACCCAAAGACCGCCTTATGTATCTACTGGGGAATATTCACGTCCAACAGGCACAAATAAGAAAGTTCGCAGTTTTGTTGTGAACAAATTTTCTAATGTAAGTATTTCATTAATGATTTTCTCTCCCACTCATGCTGTAGCACTATAGCGATATGTACACTGCGTCTCCTAATTATACAGCCACCTAGAAACGGGTCAACCGTCCGTTGGACAAAGTCCAACGGGGGGGGGGTCGTATTTGGCTGCGCCAGAGGGAGGGGGGTCGTATTCGCAGGAGTCAACGTTGCAGTACGAAGAGGTTTTTGGGTGTAGGTGACGAGAGGTGGTTTTCGCTATAAGGAACTTAATGGGCGTTGTGATGAAGATCGCAGTTGTTGGCTCTTGCTGGGACCATCGAACGATTAGAATCAAGACTTAGTTCCCGCGGCAGTAGGTGAGAGGTAAAACTTCAGAGTGTTTCTTCAAATATTGAGCACAAGCGAGGGCATGGCGCACACCAGAGCAGAAGAGTCTACTGCGAAAGTATCCATGCTCACGTACACAAATATAATTCTAGAGGTGAACCAATGCCTTCAAACTGGACATAAGTTAGTAAAAGAGTAACCACTATGGTAGATTGACTGCTAAAGGGCTACAAGAAAAGTTTGGGAACAAAAATATTTGCCTGTCGGCAACTTCTTGAAATGGGTTTAGCATCTGTAATGAAGCACAAAGCTCGTGCGATGTCACGGTATCATTATTCCCGATAAAATTGAGTTTGAAGAGAGTTGTCAGTGTTTAAGTGTTGAAAACCTGTGTTTTCAGGAGAGTAGCTCCGAAAATTCATGAAAAAAAACGGTCCAACGGGGCGATTTTTGACTCCTTCAACTTTGAAGGAGCTCAAGTATTCGTTGGAAAGCTCTAACCTTCTGCTTCAATCAGGGGACAAGAACTGCAAAAAGTTCAATCTGAAGAAAGTTATAACAATTTGAAAGCCAAAAAACCAGCGCTCTGCCAAAAAATCGGTCCGCGATTTCCCAAAAACGGTCCAACGGGGCGATTTTTTGACTCCATCAACTTTGAAAAAGTTCAAGTATTCGTTAGAAAGCTCTAACCTTCTTCTTCAACCCAGGGGGACAATAATTGCAAAAGGTGGAATTTGAAGAAAGTTATAGTAATTGAAAGCCAAAAAACCTGGTCTTGCGAAAAAAACGGTCCAACGGGGCGATTTTTTGAAGGAAAGAGTTTTGCAAAAGCTTGAGCACTTTTTAGAAAGAAAACAGTCTGAGCTTTCCAAATTTTCTTACCGCTCCTCATAGTTCCTTCTTTGAAGAAAGTTACAACCTTTCAAATGAAGAAGTGCACATTTCTGTAAATTCTTTGTTTTCTACCCCATAACCGACGTACTTTTGAAGATAAGGCATAATAGATGTGATCCTTCTGAAACAAGCAGTTAAGTAGATTACAAATCCGCTTAGCAATTTGAAAAATATTGATATTGAACAAAATTACGCTTATTTGAAAGTCAATAGTCTGTTTCTCGCGACCCGCGCTGCGCCGAGGGGGAAGATTGCGCGCGCCAATGCGAACGCAACGCTACCGTGCTCCGGTCGGACACTTCTGCTGTATACTCTCACGCTCTGAGATGCGCCATGCATTCGTTTGCAACTTGAAATCATTGTGAATATCCCCCTTTTGATGCGTTTGCATATCGATGGAAATTTTTGTGATTCTGAACGCCAAGTCATGAAAGGCAGGCAAAGCGCCATTCAAACTAATGGGCAGTACTGTTCAGCACCTAATAAAGGCAGTCCGTTTTGCGATGTTATGCATAAGTAAATTACGATATCAGGAAACTAGAGTTCGTCTGCTACTGTGTTTGAATTCAAGCCAAGTGTCCTTAGATATTTTGTAGATTGCACTTACTTCCCCTAGTGTTAGCTTTTCTTACAGTGTACCGTACATAATAAGGGGGGTCCTATGGAGACTCTCGAAGAGGGGGGGTCGTAAAAATTCTGAAATCGGTCCAACGTGACGGTTGACCCTGTGCTGGTGTGTAGGTTTGATTGTAAGTTTGTCTATCTGTCGTCCGCAAAATAAGT